GTATGGGATTGCGCAGCAGATGTCCCATTCGTGTTTCTCTGTCGACCAAACTGCATGATTGCCAACTATGCCTACAGTGGGCTCTGGAACACGGGACTGGAAGACAGTTGCTTGGGTAACTGAGGATCAGTTGCACACTTACATGGCGTCTGTCTTCCCAGCTGGAAATGGACTCTTCCAGCAGGACAGCGCCCCATGTCACAAAGCTCCAGTTGTCTTGGAGTGGTTCGAAAAGCATAAGGTTGAATTCCAGTTAATGTCATACCACCTAGTCGGATCTTAACCCGATGTCACGGAGCGGCACCTCAGAGCTCAAACACCATCATGTCGGAATAGCTCGACTTTTCATGACAGCCGCTTAGGCTGCTATCACACGTCGGTCTGTTTCGAAAGAACAACTGTTTTAAACAATTTTTCTGCTTTGTCACAACAGCTAATCAACAGAGATCACTTTGGGGTTAACACAGGAGAAACTGGTTCCACAATACAAACAAGCTGATAGCATTCGAAGCTGATAGCTGATTGGTTGAAAACTAACAACTTGCAATTTTTTTTTTGGAAAGGAAGGAAAAAATCGCACGCCTTTCTTTCAATAGTAAACCAGGCAGAAAAATTGTCCGAAACAGTTGTTCGTGTGAAACAAACGTCGTGTGATATGGGCCTTAAGACGGTACAAACTGTCTCCAGTCATCTACCAAAAACTTGTGGTATAAATGCCAAGGCTAGTTGCAGCTATTTTGACGGTTAGGTTGCGCAACACATAATTGGTCGGGTGGGCATAATGTTTGTGTGTAAGTGTTCCTGCATTTCTCAAAGACATAGAGTGTTGAATCAGATCACGCTTTACCGTACCTAAAGTCTGTGGTCAGTCTATCTGTAGCTAACAAATACGATTTCAAATTTCGGCTGCGTAGCTAATTCTTAAGTCCGTGTGTATTAGCTAATAAATTCACCTCTCTTTACGTAAAAAAAAAAAAAAAAAAAAAAAACTAGTAATGTTAAGTTGGGTATTCTCCTACTTCTCCATGACCAATCTAACTGCCAAAATCAACAAGCAAGTATCAAGTTAGCATATATCATTTAAAAGGAAAAGATTTAGTTTGTAAAATTTATCAATTACAGTAATTGCATCTAACAACCAGGTCAATTTTTTAATCGAAACAATTAGCTTTTTATGCATGCGTATAATACTACTTCAGGTTTATCCATTTTAATGTCAAACATTCATTTCTAAACTTCAAATTTAGGAAGTCATACCAAAAGCTTTTGAAGGAAACTCTTCAAACAGCAAATGGGAAAACACTAAAGTAGCGAAAAGGTTAGTTACAGCGTGATTTCGCTATTATCGTGCTGATGTAGGTTTCGGAATCAACCTGTTAGGTTAAATCAAATTGTGTAGTTTTGCACTACTCTTTACCTTTGAATTTAGTTGTTACATTATCCTTTAAGTTTTCATCACAAGTAGTAGGTGACTGTGGAAGCACGTAAGTCTGGGTTGTCTGGAAACTATTGTGTTCTATAAACGGTTCTTTTACACCCTTTCCCTGCTGTACTCATCTTTGAGTCTGCGAGAAGTAGCAAGATAAAGTTTTATAAATAGATCTAGTTGCATTGCATGTTAGCAAAGAAGACTAGGTCCCACAAGTGCAATAAAATCTTTCACACAAATGCAGATCTTTGTAAATAAATAAATAAAACAAATTAATATTAAAAAGGGGGCGCTTTTTTTAACATTTTGTGTGTTGCCTGTGTTTATTAAATATCATGTTCTTCACACTTAAACCATAAAATTCAACTCAACAGCAATATCGCAAAATAATTTAAAAGCAGTACTTCCGATACACAGTCTCGCGCGCTGGAGATAGTTTTTTTTTTTTTTTTTTTTTTTTTCGTATAGCGTTGCCATTGCTTGCTTTGAAGTCGTTGAGCTTGTTAATAAAAAATTCGTTAAAGTGTTACAAAATATAAAATAGGTAATAAAATAAATTCCAAATTTGGGCTTTCTGATGCCTATATTCGAGTGGAAGATTACGTTATTCAAAATTTGATGTCTCTATGTAACTTTTTTTTTTTTTTTTTTTTGGACAGTGCGAGAAACATATACATACATTCATGCAGATTCTGTATTTAATTTCATCAAATATAATGCAGGGCTCTAATAGTTGGTGGCAACAATTTGAAAAATGAAACACCCTTTATAGCGAATCAATGGAAAATGCAAAAACGAAATTAATAGCCCTTCTGGGCAAATTGTCCCTTTGGGCTAATAAAGAATCATAAATTAAGTATTTTCCTGCATGTGTACTTGCAGCTTTTATATAAAGCACAGACAAAAATGCGTATGTGCTTGCAGTTCTTCGATAAAGCACAGACCATCAAATCTAAGAATGCAAACAAATGTTTGTTTTTTTGTTTCTGCTTTTGAATAGCGTCCTTGAACTTGAGTAGCCAAGGTCAGGATCAGAATTAGGTTTTAAATGTCAAAATTTTCTATGAAATTTATATTAGAACGAGTTCCTATAAACAAAAATTTGTTTTCATAGTATACATGCCGGGGATTTGCAGTCGTCAGAACGGGATATTTGCATTTCTATGGACGATGTGACTATACCGGTGAGCAAAAACAAAATGTGAAATAATAATCTTATAATTTAATAGATGGGAATCTCAAGATCGACTCGAAAACACACAGGGACGAGCCGGTTAATCAGCCTTGATATATACATTATCGAAACTTTTCATGTGTAATCAATCATACGTACTTTCATCATCATATGTCAAAGATTATCCTGAGTACTCTGAATGTAATGATTGGTCAGGAACAAGGTAATTTCTCTTTCCTTTAATTTTAAATTCCACAGGAATATTTTATTTAGCAATAACAACGTTTATACTATCGGGTAGCTTAAGATAAACAAGATTGCGTATAGGAGAGCGGACTTGTTTTGGGTTCTGTTTATCTTGGGCAACCCGATATATTTATATATGTAGGCCTTGATTCTTCATTTCATTATTGGTTCAATGTAAATTTCGTAGTAAAAAAACAATACTTAGGAAATATTTTCGGAAGTTCTATATAAAAATATTTATGAGTAGAAGCTCGTTAATATGTAATTGTTATAAACTAGTAGGTAGGTAAAATAAGAAGAGGGTTTAGATGCGCATAAAATATATATTTAGAAATTTATAGAACTAGATGGTTGTAATAGTAATAATTATAGCAAGAATAGAATATCGAAGTATCGACATTTTAAATGTCACTATAGGAGTGAATGGAAAGTAATGGGAAATGAATTATATATATTAGTGAGTACAAATAAAATACACAGAACATTTACAGATGCCTCTCAAATTAAAAGTCTAAAAATGTCCATGGCAGGCAAAGCACAATACTTAAAGGCTTTTAAAACAAATATTTCTTTATACTCAAAAAGCAAGGAGAAAGAATAGCGAATAATGATAATGATGATTATTAGTATTATATTCGCAATCCTTTCCACTCATGCGGATAAGCATAAAGTTTTCATAACCTTATAATTATGAGCAGCCAACACAATACATGGTTTTAGAAAAGTAAAATAAAAAATAAATAAATAAATAAAATAAAAATAAAAAAATCTGAAAGTTTTCAGATCGTAAGGAAAACCCTACATCAAACGTTTTGTGTGTTACCTTTATATTAAATATTATGTTCTTCGCACTTAAGCCATAAAATTCAATTCAACAGCAATATAACAAAATAATTTTAAAAGAGCATATCTTTAGAATTTCCGATACACAGTCTCGCGCGCTTGAGATAATTTTTTTTTCCCCCGTACAATGTTGCCATTGCTCACTTTGAAATCGTTGAGTTTCTCAATCAAAAACTCATAAATGCTTTACAAAATATGAAATAGATAATATATCAGATTCCAAATTTGGGCTTCCTATTCCCATATTCGGATAGAGACGAACGTTATTCAAAATTGGATAGCTCTAGGTATCGTTGTTTTATCACAATGCGAAAAACATACATACATTTGTGCAGATTCTTCATTACTGAATTTCTTTAAATATAATACAGGGCGATAATGTTTGGTGGCAACAATTTGAAAAGTGAAACACCTCACAATGCCAAAACAAAATGCATAGCCCATCTGGGCTAACGCTCTTTGGGCTAAAATATGCAGAAAGATTTTAAAACATTAAATTTTATATAACTGAATATTGTAACTAACTCAATATTTACAAATAAAGATATTTTTCAACATTAACGAAAGCTTTATCAACAGTACTGAAATATTAGCTGTGGATCTTGCTAAGCAGTTTTTAAAATCGTATCCACTTTCCTTCATCGTCTCTATAAGCTTTATATTTTAGTTGCTATTTTTATCAGCTTCATAGTTTTCTTTCTAATTTTCCGAAATAATTATGACACGTTTTTTCGCTGGTTTGGTGCAACCTTTACAGTTATCAGGAACTTTGCTTAATATAAGGCTTTTGACAGCTATACAAATGCTTGTGTAACTTCTATCCAAAATAAAACGCTCTTTCTTCTTATTTATCAAGAACGACTTCTATATACCTAGCTTCATGTACTGCAGTGTTACAAAAATTTTTTCAGCCGAAAAATAGTACCTTAAAAAGTGATTTTAATAAAAACTGAAATGTTTCCAATCTTATTGGCATAGGAAAGATTTGATATCTTTACAAGCATTAAGATAAATGGTTTCCTATTTTAGTAGCCTGTTAAAATTTTGTATTGATGCACAGAATTAAAAAATTATGCTACGACATTTTAATATGCTGAAATACGAAATTTATACTCTTGCAATATTGTTTCTGTACTTTACAAAATTTTCCATTCCACCTTACTTCTAGGAAATTCTAGGAACCACTTAAATTCTAGGAAATCATTAGAGAAATTACTAATGCATTGATTTTATTTACACATTCGTTTTTAAGACTTAGTGTGAAACACAGTTTGAAGGAAACACAAGAAAGCTATTTAGAAGACTTACCCTTTTTAGACGAAGCGGGTTTACTGACAGGCGATACGATAATCTTCTGTTGTGGTCCCCGATGTACCGTGGGGGTCTCCGGTACGCTAGCAATAAATGGGGGCTGCACTCCTAAGATACCTTCGATACTGTAAGATGGGGGCACACCAGGTCTGAGACGCGCGTAGTGATGACCCAGAGGCACGCTGTAGGGCGCAATGGGCAAAGCCCCAACCAGAGGACCCGAGGCGTATAGCCTGGAGTCCATGAGTCCTGCCTAATTGCATTAAAACTGGACATCTGACATGGCGGCCATGGATGCGGTGCTAGCGTCGTGAGAGACTCCACCTACCAACTGCCGAAGACCAATGATAATAAAGCACCGCCTACTGATTTGAGGAGGCGGGGTTAAATGAAGAAACACGCTTCTCTCGAGCTTCTTTCGCAGAAGATTCACGTGCTTTATTTTCTACCGTCCTTCGAGGCGAATTTTCTTGTTTTATCAAGTAAATATCCATTACAGAACACAAATGATCAAGATCAATAAATAAATTAGTTCTAGGTGATCAATAAGAATTATTATGTTTACTAACACACGGGGATTTTCACATGAACATACATTCACCTAAATTACAGTACCTTCAATCGGAACAAACCAATTGCTTTATTCTTCTATTTGTCATTAAAACTACTTTCGTTGTGAGCAATTCTATACACAGACTTTGTGTTCCGAAATTAAGTACTACAAATGAATAAGTAAATAGTAAATGCGGATATCTTATAATGTAATGGCATCAGTATTAAAAAGTAAATAAATAAATTCAGGAATAGAACATTGAAGCTAGAATATTTTCTTCTTGCGAAAACTACTATGCTGGGTTTTCTTATTTATCACACCATCTTAGTGAATTAATCATTTAATTATTATCAAAATATGTGAATATCTATAATATTTTATTTCGTGAATATCACGAAGTATTTCGTGAAGTTCTAAAATAGGAAGGAAACTTTTTCACTTTATTTTTCTTCAAGAAAATAAAGGTGTCGAATTTTTAGTTTTCAGGGAGGGGATTGTGGGCAAGACCAAGAAAATGTATGAAAAACAGAAAATAAGGGGAAAATAAAGAAGAAAGAACAAGTAGAAAGAAGGGGTCAAACAAGAAAAAAGTAAATCATATTATAATTTAATAAATAACAATTAATATAGATCCTACTTTCTCGAACTTGATTTTTTGCACAGTAAAACTTTTTTAAAGAATATAATATGCAGGGTAAATAAGCGATATGTGTAAATAATCGATTATTTCTCATTCGAAAAGATATATATATGTTGCTACACACATCTTTTTTTAATAAAACTAATAGTTTAATATTTATAAAAATAAAAGATAAACACTTTATTAATAAACTGTTTGTTATTATATAACTACAAATTATTAAGAACCACATTATTTTAGGCAGTCAGATATTTACAAAAAGAAATGTATTGCTGCAATTTGAAAGATAAAAAGAATAAAATAAGTTTATTAAGAAGTATACACATTGCTTTAAAATTAATTGGTTTGTTACGCTAATAAAAAGTGCAGCGTTATACTTTGAGAAAATACTTAATTAAAGATTTTGTGCTAGGCGAGTGGCAACACCTTGAAGCATGTTTAATAAATCAGTCCAATTCAAGAAGTTAATAAATGGTAATAAACTTACTGATCTTTAACATTTTATCGTTTCAAAAGAAAGATATGTGCAATAAAAATATCCTAAATTGCAATAAAATTTTCAAAAGATTAATATTTTTAAATAGAAGGTAAATCATAAACTGTATACTGCAAAATTATTTAATGTAGTTAGTTCTCAGTATCGAAAATTAGAATTAAAGAGTAAAAGTATTTAATATTGTAAATTCTTAATATTCCTTCCACCGAATGTGTTGAAGATACATGAAACATAATTTGTGTCGCATTTTAGGATACACGAGGCCAGCCGCCTGGTGCAGTTATTATAAAAAAGAAAAATATAATTATAAAGAAGAAAATTTTAATGAACCGAGGTAATGAAATTTTACTAGCCCGGCTATTTATCTGCATATAAAGAACAATGTCTGTGTGTTTGTTCGCGATTAACTTAGTCACTACTATAGCTATCGCCACCAAACTTTCTACGATTGTCTATGATTCTTTTCTGGGTCCTGGAAAAGGTCGACGTCCACTCACCCCCTGCCCAAAAAAGCTAAAATCAGAGCTATTAATTGAAAACGCTAATTTTCGCCCTCATTTTACAGAGTAGCAACAGTTCCCCCACTCTGGAGATAAAAATCTGCCTTATTTTGAGAAGTGTTGCCACTGCTCGCTTTCAAGTCGCAGAGTTTGTTAATAAAAATTTCTAAATTTTACAATTAAATAAAAACAACATTGCCAAACATTGAATACATTATTTCCGATTCCAAAAATTCTTGGGAAGCCATTACGACTATTCCCAACTTCCTACGACTTTAATCAGCCGATCTCGGCTGATTAATTAAAAACTCTAATTTTCGCACTCATTTTTCCGAGTGGCAAAATCTCGCGTGTTGGAAATAAAAATGCTTTATTTCTCAAAGTGTTGCTACTGGTAGCTTCCAAATCGCTGAGTTTGTTAATCAAAAATTTGTAAATTTTACAAAATCTAAAATTTAAAGAAGAATGCCTGTTTCTTTGTTTATTCGTGTTATTGATTTCTGATGAATTGAAATAAATTTTTTGCCACATTTAATCGACTAAAATTCAATATACGTGAAGTACTGGATGGAACTTGAGCTTTTACGACCATTTGATTAGAAAGACGAAAATCATTAAAAACTGCGTGCCATTTTTGCTGATATAGTTAGTTCATTTTTCTATGGAAATGTTTTATGTGTGTTCCATATCGCATCAGACGGCAAAATGCATGACTCTGAATCGTATTTGTTGCATCGTTATTAGAGAAGGATTACAGCGGTATCATTCTGTCTGTTGTTAGATAGTACTCTCAATCTAACTTACATTTCCGCCAGTCAAAAATAATTGCACGAATATGTGTTTGTGATTTTAAATCATTTAGTTTATTAATCATTAGAAGAAATTAATCAGGGTTTCTGATTTTAAATCACTTAGTTGATTAATCATCAATTGAAATTTAAAAGAGAAGTTATGTACCCTTACCCTTTGCTGAACTGCGGCATGGAAAATAATAATAATAAATAATAATAATTAATTCGGGCAATGGCAGCATATTTCGTTTAAATTGCGGAGTTTGATGATTAAATGTAAACGACAAAATATCTTATGCTTTGCCAAGCAGCAAAATATCTTTCATTTAAATCGTTTAGTTTTTTGAGTAAATTTGAAACACATGTATTTTATGCTTTGTTGAGTCACTACACATCGCTTTTAAAGCACTGATTTTTCTTAATAAAAATGCTTTAGATTCGAAAAAAATATGAAATAAATCAAAAATAAATTCGAAATTGAAAATTCGGGCTTCCAGGAGCTCATGTTCGGGTCGAAGACAGTGAATTCAAAAGTTGATGGTTGTAGCTTTTTTTTATATCGCTACGTTTTGTGATTAAATTTTTTATATAAATATCTTACACATTGCAGAATGGCAACACAAATCTTTTAAATCGCTGAACTTTTAATCATAAGTTCATTAAATTAGCACGAAATAAATAAAAAAAATTTGAAATTCTATTTTCGAGGTGATGATATTCAGGTAAAGGAATACGGGCATTCAAAATTCCATGGCTCTACGTGAAGCCATTTTAACGCAATGTGGGAAACATGTATACATTCGTTCAGATTCTTCATTATTTATTTTTTTAATATAATATAGGGTGATAATATTTGGTGACAACAATCTGAAGCGTGATACCTCGCTTGATAGTGATTCGACTGAAAATGCCGTTTCGAGACTGATAGCCCTCCTAGGCTAAAAATGCAGCTTTGAAACTGTACGTCTATATCGACAAAGCAGATTTGAAAAAATGACAGTATGCTTCTATAAAAGAATGGATTTTTTTTTTAAAATTGTAACATGATTCTGAAGTTGAAATGAAATTTTACAAAGAAATATAAATCCTAAAAGAGAAAAATATAATGATTTCTCGACTTAAACTTTGGGGGGATTTTGAATACATTAAATTTTTAATAGAATTCGCTCCGAAAATTAAATTAATCTCAGGCAAAACTTAATGGCTATAAGATCATTACAAAACCAAGGGTCGCAAACTTTTCTGATTTATCCCTTTAAAAAAGGGGGGACAAAATTAAAAAAAAAAAAAAAAAAAAAAAAAAAAAAAAAAAAAAAAAAAACAAAAAAAAAAAAAAAAAAGATGGGGGAAATTAATCAAGGGGCTTTTTAACGTTTGTGTTACTTTATTTATAAATTTGTTCTTTGCCTTAAATAAAATAAAGTGTCGCAAAATAATTTTAAAAAGCTTTAGAATTTCCGATACACAGTTCCCCGCGCTGGTGATAAAAAGGTTTTTTTTTTTTTTTTCACCCGTAGAGTGTTGCCATTGCTCGCTTTGAAATCCTTGAGTTTGATAATCAAAAATTCGTTAAAGTTTTACAAAATATGAAATCGATCATAAAACAAATTCCAAATTTCAAATTTGGTCTTCCACATGCCCATTCCACATTCGTAGAAGGATTACGCCATTCAAAATTCGACGGCTCTACGTACCGTTGTTTTATCACAATGCGAGAAATATGCATACATTTATGCAGATTCTTCATTATTTAATTTCTTCAAATATAATGCAGGACTCTAACATTAAGTGGCAACAGTTTGAAAAGTGGAACGGACATTTATAGTGATTCAACGCAAAATCGCAAAACGAAAACAGGAAGGAAGGGGAAAAGCTTTTTCCTTCATAGAAAAAGCTCCTTTGGACGTTTAAAAAAATAATAAATAAATAAAAATAAAAATAAAATTTTTAAAAAGTCTTTAAAAAATGGTGCATTAGATTTATTGTTTATTATTATTATTATTTTAAATAGTACAAATATAAACAACTTTTCACAAATAAAATCAAAGTTTCTAATCGAACAATTTTTTTTTTTAATTGCACAAAAGTTCGTTCAGTTTTAATTAAGGTGATGGATGGATTGATGCAATTTTTTACTATATGGCGTAAATTTGCTTCACTTAAACCACTCCATTAAATTAACCTGTTTCTTGTCTTCCGTAGTAAATTATGAACTCTACTAAATAGTCTGTTTCCATTAGGAAAAAGTTGGCTCCGTAACACTTTATTTTGGAATTCTTAGTAGGGCTTTTAGA